TCTGTTTTCCAGTTGTTTATCCAGTGAGGTATTTTACATTTTCTTTTATTTTTCATTCTTTTAATTTTGTTTGACTAAAAAAATTCTTGATGTCTTGCAGAGTCATTAGCTTCTACTTGTCCAATTTTAATTTTTAAGGAATCATTCTCTTCAGTTAGCTTTTGTAACTCCTTTTCCATTTGGCCAGTTCTACTTTTTGAGGAATTATTTTCTTCAATTTTTGTCCTTTCTTTTCCAAGCTATTGACTCTCTCTTGAATACCTCTCATTTCTTTTCCCACTTTTTCTTTTACTTCTTTTATTTGACTTTTAAAATCCTTTTTGAGCTCTTCCAATAAGTCATTTTGGGCTTGAGACCAGTTCTTATTCCTCTTAGAGGTTTCAGATGTAGGTATATTGACAGTGTCGTCCCCTTCTGAGTTTGTATTTTGATCTTCCCTGTCACCACAGTAATTTTCTATGGTCAAGGGTTTTTTTTGCTTCTTGCTTTTGTTTTGTTTTGTTTTTTGGCCTATCTCATGGCTGGTTATAGTGGAGCCAGTCTAGATACAAATGAACATCTTGCCTTGAGGGTGTGCACATGCAAACGCAGACACACACACACACACACACACACGGAAAGACACACATGCACACATATGGGTGAATAAAGGAAAAATAAATGTTCCCAGCCCTCAAATGCACTGCATTTTCCAGATACTCTCAGGAAAGCTCTGTGCCTCAACACATCCATCATCTGATAAAAATGGTCCTCGAAAGCTGTCCATCATTGGGCACTGGCCAAAGGGAGTGGAGTTGGTGAGAGAATGATGGCAAACAGGGGTCTTAACAACATACAGCGTTTTTACCTGTGGTCAGATCAAGCTGTGTCTGGAGAGTAATGGACTTAGCCAGAGTAGGGTAACGAGAGACAACCAGACAAAGTAGGGGCGCAATCAGGCACATACCCTGAACCTTCACTTTCTTTTGTCAGTTCCTCTCTTGGCAGTAGACAGTCCTGTGCTCTCCTTTCCGCCCTCTCCCAGAAGTGAGCCCACCTACACAGCAAGGAATACTGATATCCAAGAGACACACATCCAGAGATATGGAGTAGTGCATAGGCACACAAAAAGTGAAGACATAGGTTGATGTGAGCTTTTTACAGTAGTCCAGGGGCTCAAACAGTTGCCGCAGTTAGATTGTCATCTGTGATGGGGGAAGTCTACGTCTCCGCGTGAAGGTGGCATCTATCATCAGTAGTGATGGGAGCATCAGCAAGTATGTATTTCAGTCTGTATGTTTCTGCCAGGAGAAGGCCAATCTCTTCATTGCCCCAGTGTATTGTAGGTAAGTTTTGCAACAACATGAAGAGACCCTGAATATCTTCCTCATCCAAGATCTCTTTCTGCCACATGCAGAGATGGAAATGAGAAAACCCTTGTGGTTCAGACTGGTCGATGTCCCACAGCCAGATGGCACGTCGGGGGGGCAGCTTCCTCATAAGCAGGTTATTCATCCAGCGAAAGGCAAACTGCCATCTCCAGTGATTGTATACCTGTTCATCAGTCCAGCTGACCCGCTCGTCCAGTGCTTGGACTTTCTTCTGGATCCCTGGCTGGGCAAAGGTGCAGTGGTCCTGTATCCCATCCAGTGGTAGCTTACTCATGCACCCAAACTGTCTGCTTCAATGCTTCGTAGAGTATCTGCAGACCAGTTTGTCACATCAAAGTTCTCTACATCCTCTTCCACATATTCTGAGAGGAAGATGACAAAGAATGGAGCGACCAAGTCATTCATTCCCACACGTAGCTACTGGCAGGGTGTCAGATGGCCCAAATGAAGAAGATTCTTTCAAAGATCTCTTGGATAAGTGGCTGCTGGAACAATGAAACGAGAGGATTCGTCCTTGGAATGTCAGTGTGTAGCCACAGGAGCCTCCACATGACAGGTCTAACCTCCCTGGGAATTCCTGGCTAGCTACATTTCCTCAGTTCATCTAGGTCTATGTTATGGCTAGAGAGGAGCTGCTGAAATTTCCCTTAAACGTGTTTTCTCTCAGACAGTCATTGGGGGAGCACCAGAAGCATTCTGGTCTGAGATCCAGGCAACGGGGGGGATAATGGGTCAGAGTGGAAGTGATTGCTGTTTATGAAGAGGGTTCCTTAAGCATGTATCACCAGAATTTCTAGACAGCTGGGCTTCACTGCTGGACTTCATGACTTTAAAAGTAGCTGTTATATCAGCTGCCATAGATTGGGACTGCTCTGGCTTCACCTGTAACTGGACTTGGGCTGCAGTTGCCAAAGCAACCATAGAGTTCAGAGTTTGGAAAGAGGATGTGGAAAAATCCTCGTCATCTCCAATGTCCCAGGTATCACTGGCATTTTGGGCAAACTCATGAAAACTGGAGGCTTTTTTTATTCTTCAAGGGCACTGCATTGACTGGTTTTTTGGGGGTTTTTTTGGCTAGGCAGTGGGGTTAAGTGACTTGCCCAGGTTCACACAGCTAGTAAGCTGTGTTGACTTTTGAGCATTCTTTAATGAAGTTTTTTGTGAGCCGAGGATCCAGTGGAGATGCTGGACTCCATGTACTGAGTAGATACTGCCTGGCAGCTTGGAGCTCCTCTTCCAAAACTGTTTGCTGTTGTCTCTGGCCATGGCTCAGGCCCAGAGAGCGGGCTGTAGGCAGGGCTGGGGGAGAGGGTGAGCCAGAGAGACACTCCCAGGACCCTGCCACCCAAGGGTCGAGCAAGGCTGCTTCCGTCCTGCTGCCACTGCCACCACCACCGGTCACCCCAAGCATTACCTTCTATGTGCAGTTTTTCCTGAGCCCATCAAATTCTAGTACCCTCCCTCTCAAGCTACCTTGTATTTAACTACTTTGTATTTACTGACATTTATTCTGTATGTTCTTTTATTTGTAGTTGTCTCCCCAATTAGAATGTAATCTCCTTGTCTTGTAGCAATTATTTCATTCATTTTGTTTGTGTCTCCAGTACCTGATGCATAGCAAAGGTACTTCATACTTGTTTGTTGATTGATTATCGTATACCACCAGAGTATTCTGCACAAAGATTCATTGCATTTGCAATTTTACCAGTGATGAATGTATTTATATATATATATTCATACTACAGTCCCACCAGTACTGTATTTTGTTGTTTCTAATTATTTTTTTCAATTTGGTGAATATGAGAGGGTATCTTAAAGTTCAGCAAAATTCTTCTTGGAAGAAGAAAAACGATATCTCGCTTAATCTAAACTGTTCAGTGACCAGTAAGAAGCCCTAGAGTTAATTATAATTGATAGAGTTGTAGAGGTAATTCTCCTTTTCTGTTGTATTATTTTAGAGAAAGAGAAGTGGCATTAAAATCATTTGGAATGTGCCCACAGTCTTAAAATAAGTCAGAAATTCAATTTTCCATTCCTGGAAAGTTTATTGGTATGTAAACTTAGCTGGCCTCAGATTCAGGAAAATCTAGTTTCAAGAGCCACCTCTGAACATATACTGACTGTGTGGTCCTGAGACAGTCACTTATCAGTGCCAAATAACTCTTAAGACAATAAGTTAAAAGCTTCTGATCTATATTAGAAGAGGAATTTCCTTACTTGACAGTTTTCTATACCTACAAAATCGAAAGGGGGTGGAAGGAGGGAGGTGTGGTGAAAATAAGCCAAAATTCAGTTTCCCTCAATTAAGGACATAATCACAGAATCCCATTGCTTTCGAAATAGGATTTGAAAAAATAAAAAAAAGCACTTTACCCTAGTTAAATATTACAGAAGTGATGAGATGACGTTTTATTACCCAAAGATTAATCAAGCATTTGCACATATTTTTTTTTTGCACTTTTCCATGGGTAAAAGTAGAATTCTGCCCACCAAGATAGGCTTTCCCTCTCACTTCATATGCCATGGTATGAAAATAGACAAATTATTATTAGTTAGACCAGCCCTCCGTTATGACTCTACTAAGATCTTCCTCTGATGTCTCATCATGGCATGGAGATGGTCCTAGATTCTTGAAAGTTATGCTAGTAGAACTTTTAATCTGGTTCAGGCATACTGGGGAGTTTGACATCTCTATACTAAGACTTCGACACAATCACAGATCTTCAACATATAGACAGTGAAAAGCAATAGTATGTCTAGGAATGTTAGTCTTTCAATTAAAAAAAATTGTACTTTTCAGAAATAACATGCAACTTTTTTCTCATTTTATACTCCCCCAAACCTAATAGTTTGATAGGCATTTGAATCAGTAAGGCTAATATCCATTTTTTTCACAAACTCAGGAGGTAACTCAGGTTAGATGTGTTGCTTTTAACACTGTGGGTTTGTGGTTGTTGTTTTTTTAATAACAGCCTTTTAAAAATTATTTTGTTGTAAATTTTCTATTTTCATATAATGGCATATGAAGTGAGAGGGAAAGCCTGTCTTGGTGGGCAGAATATAACATAAGTTCCTACAAGGCAGGGACTATGTCATTTTTGTCTTTGTATTCTCATCATGTAGCACAGCACCTCCTTACACATAGTAGGCATTTAGTAAATGTTTGAGTTGAAATTGGAATTAAAGTTTCAGTGGGAAAAATTATAATTAGGGATACATATGGAAGTTTTCCTTCTGACAATAAGCAAAAGCAACATGAAATTATTACTGGAACATAAATGGAATTATTTTGAAAGTAATTATTTTGAAAAGCTATAATAGTTCAAATAGCCTAATCCTGATTTCTGAGTTTTATTATTTTCCTTTGCATTCAGAGGATATCAGGCTTAACACCACAAGGTACACATGATGTCATTTTAACTGACTCAATTGTAGAATTTTTTTCTTTTTAATTTTTAAACTTGTCCTTAAAATTGAATTTATGTTGGAGATAATTGTCACTGTCCTCATGGGATTGGATGGCATTATGTTCTTGATGTTTATTCATCTTTTTCTTTACACAGGAGATTAAAATTAAAAGTTAAAATCAGTGTTAAAACTAACATAGGATTACTTTCTTATTTCAAACAGCTAGTTAAAGGTCTTCAGCAGGAGCTGAATCGATTGTATTCGCTTTTCTGTTCTCGGAATCCAGACTTTGAAGAAAAGGGGGGTAAAGTCTCAATAGTGTCACATTCTTTAGGATGTGTGATCACTTATGACATAATGACTGGCTGGAATCCTGTTCGACTTTATGAGCAGCTAATGCAGAAGGAAAATGAACTACCTGATGAGCAATGGACAAGCTATGAAGAACGACATCTCCTGAATGAACTCTATCTAACTAAGCAGCGGTAAAGTAGTAATGGTGATAATAGCATTTCTTTAGCACCTACTTTATGCCAGGCATGTGCTAAGCACTCATTTAATACTATCTATTATTCTCTTTAAAGAATGGCCAATGAGAGGAATTCTCTTTCCAGAAATTACTCTACTTGGAATTGGCATTGTAAAGATAATAAATCTTAGACCAAAGATTACAGCATTACATGTCCTAGCTGAATTTTAGGTATTTAAAATATTATATCCATTTCCTTATGTTTATAATAAATATATTTGTCTCCCTTGGTTTTTACTTTCTATTTTACTGAGGGAGTTTGTAGTTTCTGTTTAGGATCTTTAATCTTTTAGGGATTTTAAATTTGGATGCTTTTAATGAAAATATGACTTTTAAGAGGGCTGTTTAGAGAACAATAAATTTTTAAATTAAGTATAAATTACTTAATTTAATTTATACTTAATTAAGTATAAGAATAGTAAGATCAAATGTCTTTTAAATGCTTAGAAAATAGACTTATTTCTAGCCTATTTTGTTCACTAATTATAAATATAATGTATTAAATTTGTGAAGGTTTTAAAATGTTCTTAATATATAATTTCACAGGTTGAAAGAAATAGAAGAAAGATTGCAAGGATTGAAGACATCAACTATAACACAAACACCTGCTTTAAAATTTAAGGTATATAAAAAAATATAAAATTTATATTGTTCATTTTAGTGTGTTTTTTAATGTCATCTCACATATGACAAAATTACATGAGAAATGAGATCATTTTAAGTATATAGTTAACTCTACTTTAACTCGATTATTTATGACAAAGTCACTGATCTTGGGTTCTCTCAGTGCTAATGCTTTATGTTCTGAAGGACTAATATTTTTTTCATTCAACTAATATTTTTTTTGAGTGCTTACTATATACCACTGTGCTAGGTATACTGGGTGGGAAGGGATACAAAATTATAAGACAGTGTTCCACCTGTGATGATTTGCCTAAGGTAGATATAACTTCCCTCCACAAAGTCCTGGTCTGGTACCCCATCAGAGAGTGAGGGTATTCCCTGGTTCTTCCTTATCCTTATCCTAAAACTGCCCTCAACTTGCCTTGATTCCTGTTCCCCTTGATGAGTTTCTTCTGGAGTCTCCCATCTGTGAGAGGAATCTAGGCTGACCCTCCTTCATTCCCTTCTTGGCTCTGCTTCTTACTCTGTGGACTTCATCACCGTGCCCCTACACAGGTGCTGTTCTTTCTCCTCTTCTGCCTAGCTCATAGTAAACACGTAATAAACACTTAATGAAAGCTTGTTGTCTGCCTTAAATTTCTACTAAGCTGGAAATGTTACAAGTGTGAGCCTGGCAGCAGACTGTCCACTTTCTGAGGACCAGCCTGCCTAAGTAGGAAAGGATCATCACCAGTAGCCTGGCTACTTGATAAATTCTTTGGCCGTGGTAATCCTTGAAATAAAGAAAAATGTGAAGTGGTCCTCAGGGGTTCTTCTATAAGAAGAAGGGGCAGAAGATGCTAAGAATCATCGTTTTTAGATTATCTTTAAACTTGAACTCTGAATGTGATATCTTTGACCAGTAACCTACAAATGGGCACACTACTGGGGGAACTGAATCTTACCAGTCTTGACATTTTCTCTATAAATGAAGTCAGAACAAAAAAGAAGAAGAATTTGCAGCTAAAGAGATGGCCCACAATTTATTCGCCAAGAGGCAAATAAATTAGTTGGCAGAGTTGGTTTCACTGTGTGCCTTAATACAACAAGAAACATCATTTCATGAAACATATGGCCATCACAAAAAGCAGTGCTTATAAGTACTTGCCAAAAGGCCTCTGTCAAATAATACAACAATATCAATTGCAGAGAATGGAGAGGATATGGTTTTATGAAAAGTCTGATAATGGCCTGCCAGATTTAGTCAACATAAACTCTGATAGTAGGTAGCTTCACTACAAAATTGGGAATGGGTGAGGATAATGAGAAATACTTTGGAAGACATAGATCAGTGAAAAAGAGGCCAAAAACTTGTTGACAACTCAGTTCCATGCCTTTATGTGGTAAATACTTTTTTGAGAAGAGAAGCACTGGCCATGACAAGCACTGAATAGCATCACCTAAAAAAAAATGGGTTGTATATTAACAGATGGGAAATAACTTGTTACTGATAGAATCATTCCTAAATTAGTTTTCTGTATATTGTCAGACTACCAACTTGTTAGAACAAAGATGAAAATTAATACAAAGGTAGAAGAATAAAAATGAGAAAAATATGTCCCCTGGAACTGAAACAACTCAAGCCTAACCTAATCAAAAAAGTTGATGTGTTCAAGCGGATCTGTAATTTCATCAATTTGGTGGTTCCTTCCACAGATGAAGATTGCAACTTTCATTCCTTCCCATCCTATGTGACTTTCTTCCTCACCTAAATTTATCAAAGTTCTACCCCAACATTCTGGAGGCCTTCCCACTTACTCCTGACATTGCAAGGATACTGGTGGAGCACTCTAGATATCAACTTGTCATCCCTCTAAATTTGACCATCCCATCTTGCATGCCTATCATATGTTTTCCTAATTACGTCTTTCACTCCTTCTTTAAAATTCTTCATTGTTAGTTGTTATAGTCTGCTCATACTCCCCACATACCTCTCTGTTGTTGTCTGTATCAGACTCGTTTCCAGTTTCTCAGATACCATTGTGTTTTATGTCTCAAAGCCATGTGGCCACAGTGATAGAATGTTGGTATTAAACAGATGGTTCCTGTGGTAAAAATCAGTTTCAGAAACATTGGTGGGAGACCTAGCTAAGCAAAGCCATACAAGAACATTTAAATATAAAATGGAAGGAAAATAATAAACAGAACAAAAGTGGAAAAGATCTGAAAAATTTGTATGATAAAGTTTTTTACTATCAAGGAGAGTAGAGCCATCTCACTTGGACTCTTAATATTAAAGTTACATGTACTTAAAAAGGAAGTAGAAATGGCACAAAAGAGATCAAAGATTTGAGAAAAGCAGCCAGATTAGACCAAATATATAAGAGATCTGTAGTAGAAGTGACACAATTGTGAGGGTATTGAGGAATAGATTCACAGAATATCCAAATGGAAGATACCAAAGACATGATGGAAAAAAAATCTTAAACTTTGTGAATATAGAAATACAAAACAAGAAAATAGCAATAACTACTGGCCTATTCATCTATTTTCCCATCTTAATAATTTTCTTTTAGTAGAGAAGAGGCAGGTTTTTGCAAGTACTATTCCACAGTGGACCATATCTTTACAATCACATAATTGTCTAAAAGATCTAGACTGGATCACACTGTGCTTATTGTTTAATTATAGAAAAGTATTTGACTCAATGAAGCAAAATGTTACCTTAAAGACTTTTTTCCAACAAAGTATCTCACATTCCACATCAAAGTCATTCAAAATTCCTAAAATTATATAAAAACAAAGGCAACTTCTTTCAGCTACACAGTGATTATAAATATCTGTGAGGCATATAACTGATGTATATTCACCACAGGCAGATGTTTCCCATTGTCATAGAGGAACTGCAGTGCATAAAGTTGAAAAGGAATTTCCTGCTAATGATGAGGTCCGCTAGATGCTCTCATTTGCAGATAACATTTTACTTACTGTATCAGGCCCAAAACACTACAGAACTTCCTTAACAGATTTTATAACCATGCAGAAGAGTTTGTCTAACTATTCACATAGGAAAAACCAAGTGGTTAAAAGAAGACATGTTTTCCAAATTATGCCAGTCAGTTGGATGGACAGACATTTACATGCCAGAGGTGGGATTTGAACCTAGTTCTCCCTGACTTCATGTTTGGCTCTCTCTCCATTATGTGACTACTTTTCTTTTGTATAAGTTTTTACATAAATATATGTACCATAAATTATTTAGGCAACTAAATGAAGCTAATTAAATTAAATTTTACAGATGCAGGAAACTCACAAGTAAAAGAAGAAAGACATTACTATTCATCAGGGCTCTCTAAGCATATACCCTATTGTTTGAAATGGGGGCTGCAATTTTTTTCCCAAAAATATGGTTTATAAAAACCTGAGAACAACTTAGAATTCTTGTTTTTCAGCATGTCCTTTTAAGGGAAAACAACACATGCTTTATATTTAGCAACAGATAGCCTTGATTAACACAAAAGCCCAAAAATCCTACAACAGTTCTATAGCAATGACACTTAGTCTAGAGTCAATAATCTCATTAGATTCCATGAGTTAACATCTCTATACATATGAGTTCCAAATCTAAATATCTACCTTTCATCTGTCTCCTGAACTACAGTCCTGAATTATTAACTGCTTATTAGACATCTCTACCTCACTGCCCTGAAGGCATTGTAAATGCAACATGGCTGAAGTAGCAATTGCAATCTTCTCCCTAAAACCTACTCCTAAGCCTACTCCTTAATTTCCCTTTTTCTAAAATAGGTGTATCCACATCCTTTAGTTTCTTGAGTGTATCACCTCAGGATCATTGGGAACAGTATGATACAATGGGATGAATAATGGCTTGTAATAGAAGGATCTGGGTCCACATCTTGTATCTGCTGTGTATTACCAGGGTAGCCTCAGGCTAGTCACTTTCCTTCACAAGTCTTCAATTTCCTTACCTATGAAATAAGGGAGTTGGGCTAAATACTCTCTAAGGTCCTTCCAACTCTAAATCTATGATCATGTGATCTTCAGCTCTTCACTCTTTTCCTTATCCAGTCTACTACTACAAGTTTTATCACCTTTCTTCACTCAAAAGGAACTACCTAAAATCCTAATCATTCCTCACCAGGATTGTTACCATCAATCACCAACTTCTTGCCTTTGGAGTAAAGGCAGTCACACCAAGTTTCCTGCTTCCCAGGTTAAAAGGAGAATCAGCATTCTATCAAGCACTGAGAAAACATTGGGTCTCAAGCCTGATCTCCAGCCTTCCTCAGGAAGTGGGGAAACATCATTTCAGCATGCACCAGTTTTCTGCTGTTGGAGTAATGGGAGAGGACACATTCCACTGGACTAAGTCTTCTGCCTCTCCTTGGAAGACAAGAAATACCATTCCATCTAGCACCAGACTACTTACTCCCTTCCAGGGAACAGGAAAAAGGCCTTTTCAAATCACCAGCCTGGTCTCTTGCCTTGGAGAAAGAGAGCAACACCATTTCTTCAGCTTCCATCATTTGTCCCTTTCCCTGAACTGCCCAAGGGCCTGAGAAAACTCCAGCATGAGACCAAACCTCTCTGGACAATGAAAATCTATCTAAACTTTTTCTTCTGTGATTAACAGTCTCCCCTGTCCTGCACCCCTCCTATCATGTCCTGATCCTCCCTGTGATTCTGAACCACCCTCCCCCCAAGCAATCATCATTCAGACCCCCATTCTCCATCCCCCATTGCCTTATCCCTTTTTCCCATACCCTGCAACCTTCTGTTCTGCCTCAACCCCAGCATCCCTCTCTAAAGTTACTCACCCCCTCACACTGTACACTCTGGAATACCTACTCGAGAGACAACAAACTTATTTTCATCCTAAATCTTTTTCTTTCCCAGTCTTTCAATTTTCTGTGTCATTGAAACCTGGTTCCCTTCTGGTGACAGCCACCTGGCCATTTTTTTTTCAGCACTGGTTGCCCTTTGATTCATTCCCCTGTTATTCATTCCCCTGATCAAGATGGAGGAGTTGAAATACTCCCCATTGCCACTTGCAGTTCTTCCTCCATCATCATTCAATAACTTATCTGCTTGCTTAATCTATTTCAGTTCAGCTGTTTTTCAGTTGTGTGACTCTTCATGACCCTATTTGAGGTTTTCTTGGCAAAGATACTGGAGTGGTTTGCTATTTTCTTCTCCTGCTCCTTTTACAGATGAGGAAACTGAGACAGACAGAGCTAAGTGACTTGCTCCAGTCACAGCTAATAAGTGTTTGAGGCCAGATTTGAACGCAGGTCTTCCTGACTCCAGGCCTGATGCTCTCTTCACTGCATCACCTAGCTGTGCACTTAATCTATAGTTACCTCCTAATCAAAATTCCTGTAACTGTTGTCTGCTGACTTCCAGGACATTCCCCATTTTTCCTCAGTAAGTTCACGGCTTGGTTCTGAGTCTTTCTTTCCTCCCCAACTCCTGACCTCCCATTTTTTCAACTTACTCAGTTCCCATGACCACCCTGCCTCAGCCACACACAAAGATGGTCTTGGTTCTTTTTTTTTTTAATTTATTTAGTATTTTTCCCCTAATTACATGCAAAAACAATTTTTTAACATCCATTTTTAAAGCTTTGAGTTCTAAATTCTTTCCCTTCTTCCCTCCCCAACCCCCTCCTTTGAGAAGGCAAGCCATTCAATATGCATGTCTGGTCTTGCAAAACATATTTCCATATTAGTCATGTTGTGAAAGAAAACATAGAGATGGTCTTATTCTTAATCTCAATTGTCAAAATAATCTCTAAAGAGTATGCCTGACCGTGTTACTCCCAAACTCATTAAATTCCAGTGGTTTCCTATCGTCTCCAGATGTTCCTGTCACCTACAAATGGACCACTTCTACGTTTATGAACTCTGAAATTCTCTTATCAGATCCATCTCTCCTTCTGCTTTGCTACCCGAAACTCTGTTCTCCATCCACACCATGACTTCCAGCTTCTCAATACCCCACCACCACCACCACCACCACCCATTTCTTTCCCAGGCCATCACACCAGTGCACTCACTATATTCTTCTCCTTCCCCATCTTGACCTCTTAGTGAACCAGTCCAACTCTACATTCTCCTATTCTCTTGAGATCCTTGACCTCTTATCGTATTGCTGATCTTACTCTGCCAAACGTCTGCCTTCGATCACTCCCACCATCAGCTGTTTTCACTCCTTCACATGTATTGATGAACAGAGCTGGAGAAAATAATGAAATTGTGTTGACTGTATCAAATTTTATTGACTATAGATTTTTGTTAGAAAACATCACCCCACCACAGCAGCTTTTCCAAATATTTTGTTGCCTCTTCCAACTTCCCATGACTGCCTTTCCCCCACCCTCCCAGCTGAGAATCTTGCCTCATATTTCTACTAAAGAAACTGAGACCATTTTTTGAAAAATTCCCTCTTCAGGAGCAACTAGTTGACACAGTGGATAGATCTCCAGCGTTGGAGTCAAGAAGACCTGAGTTCAAATCAGGCTTCAGACACGTGACACTTACTAGCTGTGTGACCCCGGGCAAGTCACTTAACCCTGATTGCCTTACCAAAAAAAGGAAAATTCCCTCTTCCCCTCTCCTCTTCTTGCAACATCTAGATGTCTTCTAGATGTCCACTATTTCCTCCACCCCGTCTCACTTGAAGAGAAGTAACCTTCCTCTCTGCCAAGGCAAGATTGCCTCACCAGAAAAGAAAAAAGAAAAATTCCCTCTTCTTGCATCATCTAGATGTCCTTGTCTCGCTTGAAGAGAGATAACCTTCTTCTTTTCCAAGACAAACTCTTCTATGTGCACAATTGATCCCTTTTCTTCTTCAGCAGATTTCCCCCTCCATTCTTTATTTTATTTTCCATTCTGAATTCTCTCCTTCCCACCTTCCCTCTCCCTGCCCATTCTCTCTCTCTCTCTCTCTCTCTCTCTCTCACACACACACACACACACACACACACACACACACCCATGCTTTAATCTGTATGCTTGAATGTATCACTTCTTTATCTGGCGGTGCACAGTGTGTTTCATCCTCTGGAACTGGTTGGTCATTGTTTTGATCAGAGTTCCCAAGTCATTCAGAGTTGTTTGTCTGTATTATTGTAATTGTTGTATAAATTGTTCTTCTGGTTCTCCTCACCTTACTTTACATCAGTTCATATAAGTTCTCTTAGGTTTTGCTGAAACCACCTGTATCATTTCTTATAGCGCAGTAGTATTCTATCACAACTTGTTTAGCCATTCCCCAATTGTTGGGCACTCCCAAAATGTATCTAGAACTCTGGGCCTTAAGTTAGGAAGTCCTGAGTTCAAATCCAGCCTCAGATACTTACTGGCTGTGTGACCTCGGTCAAGTCACTTAACTTTGGTCTGCTTCAATTTCTTCAATTGTAAAATGGGAATAATAATGGCACATACCTCACAGAGTTTTTGAGAGGATCAAATGAGACAATATTTATAAAGCACTTAGTAACAGTGCTTGATACAGTGTAGGCACTTAATATATGCTTGTTCCTTTGTTCCTCTTCTCCAGTTTCCAGTTCTTTCCCACCATAAAGAAAAGTGCTGCAAGTAGTTTTGTACTTTTTTTTGAGGTATATAGACATACTAGTAGCGTATGTATAATTTAATAACTTTTGGGGCCTGGTTATGGATTCAGTTATCGTCTCATTAAGAATCTAATGATTCTCAAATCTACTTATCTAGGTCTAACCTATCTGCTGAAGCTCCATCTTACATCTCCAGCTGCCTGTTGGATAACTTCATTAGGATGTCCTGTAGATATCCTAGACTCAATATGTCCAAAATTTGAGCTTATCTTTCCATCTAAACCTTTCTCTCTTCCATATCTCCTCGTTAACATCAAGGGCACCCATCCTCCCAGCCACCCAGGCTGACAGTCCATGACCCCTCATCCTCTCCCACTTCTAAGTGATTTGCTAATATCTGTTGATTTATCTTTGTAATTTTTCATGCTTATATCCCCTCTCTCCTCTGACTCTGCTGCCATCATCTCCTCACACTCAGACCATTACAATAGCCAGCTGACTTGTTTCTTGCTACAAGTCTCTCCCACTTCTCCAGTCAGCTGTCAAAATGATCTTTCTAAAGAGCAGGCCTGACCATGTCACCTCCTCCCCCAAAATCATTGAACTCCAGTGGTTTCCTATCACCTCCATTTGGCAATGAAAGCCCTTCATAGCCTGTCCCCTCCTCCTCCTCTTTCCCCACCTTTCTGGTCAGTTTATATGTCTTACAACCTCCATGTTCCAGTGACACATACCTCCTTGCTGGTCTTCACACAAGGCACCCCATTTTTCAACTTCATGGATTTTCATTGGCCATCCTCCATTCCTAGAATGCTCTCCTTTTCCATTTCTGTCTCTCGGCTTTCTTCAGGCCACAGCCAAAATCCTGTCTTCTGCAGAGAAGCTTTTCCTAATTCTTAATTTTATTGCCTGCCTTATTTAGATAGCTTGCTTGTACATAGTTATTTCTGCATGGACTGTGTGAGCTCCTGGAGAGCAAAGACCCCTTTACTTTCCTTTGTATCCCCAGAGCTTAGCACCGTGCCTGATCCCTAGTAGGCACTTAGTAATTGCTTATTGACTTATTGACTATTGAAATAGCCTCTTGACCGGTCACCCTGCCTCCAGAGGTTTTTCATTCCTCCACACAGTTAGCAAGTTTATGTTTTTCAAAATAGTTTTAATAACCATATCATTCTGCTGCTCAGAAAGCTTTAGTTACTAAGTGGTTTCTTGTTGCCTGTAGTATAAATACTAACAATTGTTTGGCATGTAACGCCCTTCGTAGTCTGTCTCCACTGTCTGTCTTGACTGATTACTTTTTGTTCTCTCTCTCTCTCTCTCTCTCTCTCTCTCTCTCTCTCTCTCTCTCTCTCTCACACACACACACACACACACACACACACACACACACACACACGCACGCACAGAGTTCCCTTTCTCCTATATGACATTCCATGTTTTGTTTCCATACCTTTGCTCTTCCTCCTCATTTCTTCCTTTTAGAATCAATCCATATCTGTATCAAAGGCCCAGCTTCAGCATCAGTTCCTTCAAGAGGCCTTTCTCTCCCCCCCAAAAAAACTTATTTTGTTATATTTTTCATATTTATGTGTCTTATGTGCATGTTTTCTCTGTGTTGCTTATAAGTTCTTGAAGGACAAGAAATGGTTTATTTTTATCTCTATATCCCTTGCACCTAGTGCAATGCCTAGCACATAATAGGCTTTTAATGTATACATTCTGAATTGAATAGATGAGGTTTATTCAAACTTTAACATTCTTTGATTCTGTAAATAGGGTCAAGATCTCAGTCTGTCTTGAAGATTCCATTAAGTGTCAAATTCATACTTATTTTCTATTCTCAAGCTGAATTTTATTTTCAAAGATGGCAGTATTTGAAGGTGAGAGATAACAAATCCAAACAACAGTATCATCTCTTTGAAAAAATTCTGTGCACAGTAAATTTCTTACCTAAAATTGATACTTTTTAAGAATGAATAATGTTCTGTATTGTAATTGAGACAAGAATCCTGGGTTCTAGTACCAGTTTTTCCAGTAAATCTTTGTGTGACCTTGAGATGATATTTATCATCTATCTGTAGATTTCAGTTTCTTTATCTGTAAAAGAAAGAGGATGGATTAAATTATTTTTCTTTGTTTCCTTCAAATATGATTTATTTAGGATTAATTATTTTTTCTTTTAGGTTGAGAATTTTTTCTGCATGGGATCCCCACTAGCAGTTTTTTTGGCATTACGTGGCATCCGTCCAGGGAACAGTGGAAGTCAAGACCACATTTTGCCTAGAATCATATGTAACCGGTTACTAAATATTTTTCATCCCACAGATCCAGTTGTGAGTTGGAGTTACAAACTTTTTCTCTCAATGTTAAATTTATTATTGAATAACTATGACACTTTGAAAGAAACTCTAACTTTACCTAAAATTATTTCAGCTCTCAGATTATATTTGTAGCAGTTTTGCAGAAAAAAGATGCTACATAGAATGTATGTTTAATTTATTAGCTATAAAGATATTTAAACCAGAATAAAGAAATATGTTAGAATTTGCAGATTTATATGGTAACCCAGCAGTGTGTTGAGCCCAGTTTTTAACTGTGTGTTGCATTTTTTCTTATCACTAATTGATACTGAATATGTGACACATCCTCTTTGAAATGTGGTTAAGATGGGGCAACTAGGTGGCGCAGTGGATAGAGCACCAGCCCTGGATTCAGGAGGACCTGAATTCAAATCCAGACATATAACATTACTAGTTGTGTGACCCTGGGCAAGTCACTTAACCCCATTGCCTAACCACAAAAAAAAAAAGAAACGTGGTTAAGAATAGCAGTAAAGATATATCGAAATTGACAGCTGATAAATTCCAATAAAGGATCTAGCAATAAAATCCATGGCCTCAAAAGTCTGTACATAAATGCATAAGGTAGAAGTAGAAATAAAGTGAATTTATAATTAATTGCTAATTCAGAGATAGATTTTACCTTATAGTTTTTCATATAACAATATATGTGTATTGTAATAGCTGTTGATATGGGGAAGCTTTGTGGCATTGAGGGATCATTCAAGCCCACACAGAAACAAGATCTGAGCACCAAGGAAAGTGCAGTTGAAAATGAGTAAACAGTGCCAAGAACTGACATATCACTGCTGCAGAATACTGAGGTTCTTAGAAAAAGCAGAGACCTTCAAAAGGACAAGGTCTCTTATAGAGTTGTTACTGATTACTATACAGTATGGCAAAGACTGCTTGAAACGGGAAGGACAGTGTGGAATACCATTGTTAAAAAAGCTACTAACCGTTTCTGTAAATAAAAAATACTTGCCGTGAGCAGGATAATACAAAGATTGGAAGTGACAAAAATTGAAAAAAGTAATTTTTGAAAAGTGAAGCTCACTTTTCATTTAATGTTGAATCAAAACTATTATCCTAAGTCCTGGTGATCCTTTTAAGATCTCAATATCTTCATCAGACTGCTGAAAGACATCTCTTTTCCCCAACCCCTGCTCCACCTCCCCAAAATGGGATTTTTTTTTTAATAATATGCCTGGAATTCTTGTCCCTAATGAGAGAATCATGAATGCTAATAAATACATTGATATACTGAGAAGCAGAATTGTTGTAGAATTACATAATTACATAAATTCCCAAATTGAGATGGAATACTACGCCTTGCACCATGCCACATATCAAAAAAGTTAAGAAGTTTATTTAAACAATGAAAATAAAACATGTTGAAGTGTGCCAGGAGCTCCCTGATTTGAACCTCATTAAAAATCCAGAGGGTGTAATCAAGGGACTGTTCATCAAAGGTATGCTTAATATCCAGTGTAATAAAAATGTGGTTTCATGATGAAGAATTAAAGAATATGTGACAAAATCTTGTGAACTGAATGCCAAATTGTATAAAACAAGTGATTAGAGCAAAAGAAAGACATGTATGGCATATTAGAAGTATTTTTAAGATGTCAAAAGTTGTAAGGTTAATTTTATGTCAGTAAATATTATTTTCCTTTGCCTAAGTTTGATTCACACACTACTGTAGAATGTGATTTTTGAAATATACCTTACTTGGGGCAGCTAGGTTGCGCAGTAGATAGAGCACGGGGCCTAGAGTCAGTAGGACCTGAGTTCAAATCCAGCCTCAGACACATAACACTTACTGGCAAGTCACTTAACCTCATTGCCTAGCCAGGAAAAAGGAAGAAAGAAAGAAATATACCTTACTCAACAAGATCAGGATAAATAAAAAGGTGGAGACAGCATAGCTTTACATATTGAGAAGGTATATTTACCTGAGGAAATCCAAGAACCAGCTAGAAGAATCATGATGGAGAGCATTTTAATGAAGGTCAACAAAAGCAGAAACAGTCAGTATTGGAGGACCTCAGTTATCTAGACATCTGTAATAGCATACTTTCTGCCCAGAGTAGAGCAGCTTCTTTTTGATTTGTGTGAATGATGATTTCATCCTTCCAAAGTCAGAGGAGCCAACAAGGAGTGAAAATCATGGGAAGTTTTGAGGGCAGTGACCATTCCATCTTAGAATTTGTCATAGAAAGGCAGAAGAAAATCAAGGACAGTCTGACATTTACCTGAGATTTTGGAAGAGAAGATTTCAGAGAGTTTAGGGAAAGAATAATTATCCAATAACCTAAAATTCTACAGAAGTCAACCCATGAAAGATAGGAAGCTCTCAAAAATGAAATTCTGTAGACCTTAAGAGAAGTAGTTAGGATAAGGAGAAAAAAGTCTGAAGTATTTTGGATACACAGAAAATGTATCAGCCAACTTAGATTTTTTTTTTAAAAAGACATGTACACAGTATAAAGGCAAGAACAGGTAATGAGGAATCATATAAAAGGATGGAATGGTTCTTTAAAAATAGTATCAGGTGTAACAAAGTTTAGAATTAGCTGAGAGGAAAGAATTGGCTAATGAGGAAAGTTGAAGACAACAAAAAGGTTGGGAGGTATGATTTTATCTATATTGGGGAGAGAATTGAAAAAGGAACAAACTACTTCTTGTGTTAGATGGAATGATGATAATTGATGGAGAGAAATCAGAGCTTCTTAATTAAATCTTTGCTTTTTAAATTGATACTCAGTCCTAAATAAGAATATAATAAGAAGATCTAACTCTCTTAATGAGTTCAAGTCATCAACTCCAGATGAACCCACAGTACTGAAAGAACTGGAAGATGGAATTTCTGTTGGTGATCTTTGAAAGATCAAGGAGTACAGGATACATACTGCTGGACTAGATATAGGCATGTGTCCCAGGTATTTTTTTTTTAAAGTGGAAGAGATAATAGAATCTACAGACTGTAGGACAATTGAGCTTTACTTTGATTTCTGGCAAAATTGTAGTACTCATTAAAGGGATGTTTCATGAAAAGGAAGCAGTGATTACAAAAAAGGCAAAATTCATTAAAAACAGGATACACCAGACTAATTTCATTTCCTTCTTTTGAATGTATTACTAAGAATAGTTGATCAGGGGATTACTGAAGATAGATATAGTTTGCCTATATTTTAGCATAGTATTTACTCTTCTTCAATTCTATTATGCAGAAGATGGGGAGGTATAAACTTAATATCTAGATTTAAAGTTAGATGAATTCAGAAATTGTTTGATGGCTGTATCCATAGAGTAGTCTCTTATAGTCTGACATCAGCTTGGAAGAAATTATGCAGTGAAATGCCCCAGGGATCTGTGCTTGGACCTGTGATATTTTGACATTTTTGCCAGTGAGTTATACAAGGTTAACTTGCTTATCAAATTGACAGGTGACTCAAAGCTGGGAGCTAACATATTTTGTAACCTATAGATAACATATTTTGTGAAATGAATTAGGAATAAGTATAAACTTAAGCCTCACACGAACTCAAAAATTGAACATTATAAATGTAAAATAGTAGAAGCATGGCTAGACAATTACTCTGGTAAAAATATGTGGTTTTTAGTGTACTGCAAGTTCAATGTCACTCGCCAGTGTAATAGGATATCAGAAAGAGCTAATACAAACTTAGCCTATTTAAAAGTGTTTAGGTCTAGGAATTTTATAATAATTAAACATTTATTAAGCACTTACTGTGCTTAGTGGGGGGGGTTGAAGGACAGTCCCTGCCCTCGGGGAACTTCTAATCTAATGAGGGGAGTCAGTTGGGGATTACTAGAGAAGCCATGGAAGTACAAAATGTTGTCCAAATGAGAGTAGCCAGGTGGGAATTGAAATGTATCTCCTGTCTTCCCTCCTTAAATGAATGGAGATTAAGGATGTCATGGCTCCACTTTCCAATCAAAGGGGCAGCGTACTGATGAAGTGTGAATTCCAAGGCTGATTTGATCTTGTAAGATGATAAAATTTCCCAATGATAAGTTTACTGAGCAGTTGATCAAGGAAGTCGAAAATGAATGTCACCTACTGGGAAATGAGGAAATGTTTGATAATCCCACTTGATAATATCACTAAACTCTGTCCTGGTCAACCCACATCTGCAGTATTGTGTCCAGCTCTAGTTAACACATTTTAGGAAGAATTTTGACAAACTAGAGGGCAACCAGGATGGTGACAGGCCTAAAGATCATTCCATATAAAGATCATTTGAAAGCCTGGAAGTGTTAGACACAGAAAAGGGAAGACTTATAGAAAGGACATAAAAGCTGCCTTCAGGCCTTTGGAAAGTTATTTTATGGAGAAAGGTTTAGACTGACTTACTGTGCTTGCATCCAGAGAACAGAAATAAGAGACTTTGGTAAAGACTGCCAAGAGACAAATGAAAGATATAAGGAAAAACTGCCAAACAGCCCTCCAAGAATGGAATAAACTAGCTTAGGGACATTATGGGTTCTTCTTTACTGGAAATCTTTAAGCAAAAGCTGAATGACCATTTGTCAAGTATATTTTAGAGAAGTTTTTGTTCATATATGGTTGGAATAGATGTTCTCTGAGATTGTTACAATCTACTGTAGTTTTAGCACCAAGACATTCACCTTAGTACTCTTCCTAGCAGGTCATGTAAAGCCAGAATGCCTTCAGGTATATACATATGAATGGACTTGTGTATCTGTCATCCAAGTGGCCCAGTCTAACTGTTTGGTTAATGCATCATCAAAGAAGTTAACTTCCTAATCATGAATTTTTTTAACCATAGTAACTCATTAAACTATCTGACAAGTAAAGCCACATCAATGAAATCTTGGATCTTTGAAGTAATGAATGAACAATAACAATAAGACATTGACTAAAGACGAGAATTTTAGAAAATTATTTCCATTGAAAAAGAAAAAATCTAATATAGTTATGGTTAAGAAATGACACAGTAATCCCCCATGCCCTCAGTTTTTCGTTTTTACTCCTGTGGCTCACAAATACATTTATTTATGTCCCAGGAGATGAAAACATTAGAAAATTACAAAGTGATAGAGCTAGTACAATTAAGTACAAAAAAATGGAGACTCAGTTTAAAAATAATTAAAACGACTAGACACTTAATAAGTTTATTTTATAATAGTTTATAACCGTAACTTTGTTGTTTCCCTCTACAACAAATAGCTTCTGTCATGTGTTGACCTTAAATGAAAGCTAGAGATTAAGTTGTTATAAATTGGTTCTTTTCTATGTCTTTACTCTTTTGTTTAATCTTAATTTGCTAATGAGGTTATTGAGGCTGTCAAAAACAGTAATTAAAAAGAATTTTTTTTTCCCCTTTTGGTGAGGCAATTGGGGTAAGTGATTTGCCTAGTGTCACACAGCTAGTAAGTGTCATGTGTCTGAGGCTGGATTTGAACTCAGGTCCTCCTGACTCCAAGGCTGGAGCTCTATCTACTGCACCACCTAGCTGCCACATGCAAGGTTTATTTATTTATTTATTTATTCATTCATTCATTCATTCGTTTATTTGTTGGCTAGGCAATGGGGTTAAGTGACTTGCCCAGGGTCACACAGCTAGTAAATGTCAGGTGTCTGAGGTCAAATTTGAACTCAGGTCCTCATGAAAAAGGAAATTTTTTTAAAGAGAAAAGTTTAATTCTTTCATTAACTACCAATTCTTGTAACCTCCAGTAGTTTTAGTTGTTTAATCATAATGCTGGGGGCAGCTAGGTGGTGCAATGGATAGAGCTCCGGCCTTGGAATCAGGAAGACCTGAGTTCAGATGTGACCTCAGACACTTGATACTTACTAGCTGTGTGACCCAGGGCAAGTCACTTAACCCTGATTGCCTCACCAAAAAGCAAAAAAAAAAAAAAAATCATAACACTAAAAGCTTAATGTGTCCAGGGCAGCAGTCTACATATAGCCTGAAGGGAAGAGCAGTTTTAGTACCTTCCACAAATTTCAACAAACTTAATGGGCTTTATCCCCAAATTGAAAGAGATGAGAAAATGTCACTGTCTCTTCTTTGAAGACGTAGGGGGACTGTTAGAAGTAATTTATGTGTTGCTTTGTGTTGAACATTTTTTTCTTCATTATAAAGGACAGTGTGCTGGGGAAGAAGGGTGGAAAGAGATATTCAGAAATAATGTGATGTTAAATGAACCATGTAAAATTTAGGGGAGAATTACATTAGTTTTTACCCTTTAGAAGTCTGTTTTAGCATAATATTAATAATGAACAGTTTCTGTATTAAAAATTAAATCTTACTGTTATTTATGATACCTTCTAAAATCTTTGGTTTTTTTTATTTTTCTATCAAGGCTTATAGATTAGAACCGTTAATTTTGAAACATTACAGCAACATTTCACCTGTCCAAATCCATTGGTATAATACTACAAATCCTCTACCTTATGAACATATGAAGCCAAGTTTTCTCAACCCTGCAAAAGAACCTACCTCAGCATCAGAGAATGAGAATTTGTCAGCAGTATCAAGCCCGGTGACTTCACCTGTCATGTCTCGACGGCATTATGGGGAATCTATAACAAATATAGGCAAAGCCAGCATATTAGGTAATTTCTCATGAGTATTTTTGTTCCCTCATTGGAGGTGTGGTTTGTTTGCTACCAAGTACACTCTGTTTAAGTACTTATGAAAAAACATGCTATACTATTTTGAGTTTCTACGGCAAGAGTTAATAGTTTGTATTGAGTAGGCTCTAGTTAGGTTTTATAGTCTTTGCCTCGAGGAATTAATAAAGGGTGTCTTCTAGAGTTAAAGTTCTGTGACTCTGATTTATAGGTAATCCCTTACATGTAGGCATGGTATCAATTTAGTGCTTTTTTATAGAAATAAAGCTTTAATATTATTATACTTTAAAGTGATTTGATATACATCATAAATTCAGTCTTGCATGTTACTTTATACCAAGTTTTTAATGGCACGTGGATATATTACAACAAAATATGAATATAGCTTCACATAAAATATTTTGTGAGAAATATTGTGTCTCAAATATAATTTAGTCAGTAAATGCTTGAATAAAACCATTCCTATATCTCTATCATAAAAACTCTTTATCATAAGTGTCTTGGAACACGTTAAACTTTTTTTCTTATGCAATAGTAACTCCATTTAGAAACTCACAAGTAAGAATTGTATTTTTGAATGTTTATTACCACTCTGGGGGAAAAAAATGACTAATATTCCAGCCTATCTTCCAGCAGACTGTAATTAATGGGTGGATCTCTTCACTCTGTTTTGGTAGGGTCTGATTCAGCATGCAGGATGACTGTCTTATTTTTGTGAAATGCAGGAGCTGCTAGCATTGGGAAAGGTCTTGGAGGAATGTTGTTTTCAAGATTTGGACGTTCTAGTAGTTCATCCCCATCACAGCCATCAGACACATCAAAAGAAGTAACAGAAGAAGAAAAGAAGTCTGTTACCCTACCAGTCAGCACCACTATGGCCACACAGACTTTTCCACACAGCAGTTCTGGTTTTCTCGATTCTACATGTCAGTGCACACTGTACTTTGCTTCTTCTTTTTAAGTAACTTCTTAAATTATTTTGGGGGTAAAATTGAAACTTTAATATGAACAGTTATATTTATGCTCTAAAGAATGTTATAGTTTAAAAACAATGAACATTTTTTTTTATCAATTTTTGGTCAATTGATCAACAAATACCTACTAAGTATCTGGCTTTGTACTTGGCACTGTGCTAGGCACTGCAGATTGAAAGACAAAAATAAAACAGCTCCTGCCTTCTACTGAGGAAGACAACATATACATATGCAGATATATATACACAATAAATGCTAGGTAATGTGGGGTGGGGCAGTAGTAACAAGGGGAGATGAGGAGAGGCTTTATGTAAGAGGTGGCTCTTCAGTTGGATTTTGAGGAAAACAAAATACTAAGAGACAGGTGAGATGGTAGCGCATGAGGGGAGGAAGGAGCAGCACTCCATTTCAGTCAGATAGATGGGAAATGGCATGTCACGTGTGAGGCTAGTTTGGCTGGACCACAGAATGTAAAGTAAGATATAAAAAGGATGAAAAAATGGGTGGGAACTAAGTTGTAGGGGGCCAAACAGACTAGTTTACATTTTATCCTTAAGACAATAGGGAATCACTAGGATTTTTTGAGAAGGGGAGTGATGGGGTCAGACCTTCCCTTCAATTTAAAAAAAAAATTCTAGAAAGGTTTGTTTTTTGCTATTTTCCTTTATAGTTATAAAGTCAAATAGTTAAGAACTTTAGTTTAATGGGGTCTCATAGCACATTTTTAATAATACTGATTATTATTATTATTGAGCCTCATATCATATGGTAGATGGTTTTAAAGGATGTGTACAGTGGTACTAAAAATTATGCAGTCTATTATAATTTCTTCAATATATGGTATATCTCATCTTGAGTTGTGTTTCACTTCCAATCCAGTCTGCCCCAAGTCTATAGTTTCTATTATTGGCCTGATTTTACCCAACCTGACTTTAAGACCTTTAGATCTAAAAATTGAATAGATTCAAAGCCAGGATTGGAAATGACAGAGCAAAATTTGGTAAGTAGTGTTCTTAACTGCATATCTTCAATAAAAGTGAGATACAGTTATTAGACCATAGATATAGCATAAGATCTAGCCTAGCTTTACTAAATTGAAGACCCTCAGTTTTTTATAACAAAATTAAGCATCAGTTTATGTTGAAACTTTACTAATTTATCATCGTCATGTCAGCAGTGATTTTGAACCTTAGCACATGTTTAAAGGTTACTTTTACATGACCAGAATTCTGAACTAATTTTAGGGGGAGATGAAAGATTCTGGACCTGTGATTTTCTCAGTATAAGAAAGCCCCTTCTACTAATGCAAATTGGTAATTGTTCTGCAACTTAAGAGTCAGAAAGAGTTGCCTGGAATGCTGAGGCAAAACGATATGCAGAAGGTCCCACTGCTAGATGTGTGAGGAGAAAGACTTGAACCTAGATCTTTTTGACTCTGAGGTTGACTTAATGCTATTATACTACATTGCCTCTGGATATAAACATACATGTAGAAGAGGTATTCCTCAGTATACAAATTTGATAAGTATTTTAACTTTTAAAGTTATGTAATAAAAGTTCTCTTTTCCCATTACCCTTTCACATAAGTTATAGTCACAGCAAAAGAGCAAGAGGAGAAAGACTACTTTCTTCCTCTAGAAGGTTCACTACAAATAGAATTTCATATACTTGAACCATAATTCTTTTATTGATTCATAGTTTACAGTATGGGCAACATTTTTTGCTATATTTAAGAGAAAAAGACATTAAGCTAATATGGATTCAGAACTGGTTGGATGGCCAGACTCAGAGTAGTTACTAGTGGTTCATTGTCCATCTGGCAAGAAATGTCTGTACTCTTCCAAGGATCTTAAACTTTGGTTTACTATTTTAGTCAAGTACTTAAATAAAGACATAGATGGTATGCTCATCAGATTTGAAGATACATGGGGCAGCTAGGTGGTGCAGTGGATAGAGCACCGGCCCTGGATTCAGGAGGACCTGAGTTCAAATCCGGCCTTAAACACATAACACTAAAATAGCTGTGTGACCCTGGGCAATTCACTTAACCCCACTGCCTAACCAAAAAAAAAAAAAAAGGATTTGCAGATACAAAGTTGGGAAGTTTAAATAACACCCTAAACAACAGAGTCCAGATCACAAAGGATTTTGCAAGGCTAGAGAATGGGCTATGAGTCTAATAAAAAGAAATTCAGGAGAGTTAAGTGTAAAGTCTTACACTGTGATATAAAAAGTCAGTTTCACAAATATAAGATGGAGGAGACATGGATAGACAGCAGTTGGAAAAAAGATCTGGATTACAAGCTTAATTTGAATCACCAGTGTGCCATGACATCGAAATTCTTTTTTTTATTTTGGGCAGCATTAATGAGGGGCCTAGCTTTCATGAATCAGGAGGTGATAGTCCCGCTGTACTTTGTCCACCCTCCCCATCCCTGACCTTATCTGGAGTATTGTGTTCAATGCTGAAAGTCACAGTAAGAATATAGATAAGGGGGAGTGTTTGAAGGAGGATAATGATTTTGAAGAATCTTGAGTGAGTCCATGTCATAGGAAGATCAGTTGAAGGAACAAGGCATGTTTAGCCTAAAGAAAAGACTTAGGAAGGACATGTCATGTGGAGGAGGGGTTAGAATTTATCTTTTTGGCCCCAGAAGGCAGAACCAAAAGCAATGGGTAGAAGTTACAAAGAGGCTAATTTAGGCTTGATGTCAGGAAATTTTTCCTAACAACTAAAGCTATCCCAAAGTGTGATGGGTTATACATGGAGTCTTCCTTAAAATAATAAATAGCATATATCTGAAACCTTCACCAAAGTGTGATGGGTTGTCCAGAAGAGATGGGCTCCTTCTGCTTGGAGGTCTTCAAGCAGACACTAAATGACCTCTAGTTGGATATATGATCGTGAGCGTTTCTTTGATATGTACATCGAACTCAGTGGCCACTGAGATCCCTGCTGATGCTTAAATTCTGTGGATCAAATGACATGATGTTTATTATAAAATGCTTTACAGACCTTCAATATGAATGTTAGTTTTATTATTGTTATTCTTACTGTTATTACATAAAGTTGCAACAAATTCATTTGTGCAGATCCTGGAGCCAGGACCTTCCCTTAAATAGTTAGCCCCTATCCAACATGCACTGTAGCTAATTATGGTTTAATATTTCTATCTGGCCAGTGCTGCTGTTTTTAGGTTGTACTTGCCTATGTCAGACTGCACCTGCATTTTGTAACGAATGGCAGGTCTTCAGGTAATTTTTACGCAGTTTATTTCACAATTATAAATTGCAATACAGCAAATTTTCTTGTTACAACAGAATATATTTTTGTGGTTTGGTGAATTAAACTGCTATTTTTCTTTCTTTGAAAATATAAACTGTAGGGGCAGCTAGGTGGTGCAGTGGATAGAGCTCTGGTCTTGGAGTCAGGAGGACCTGAGTTCAAATCCAGTCTCAGACACATGACACTTAACTAGCTGTGTGACCCTGGGCAAGTCACTTAACCCCAATTGCCTCACCAAAAAAAAAAGAGAGAGAGAATATAAACTGTAGCAGCAAATGTGAAGGGACAAGTTATTGTTATATCATGCAAATGACAAAATAATTTTATTCAAAAGTGTAGTGGCAAAGAGTTTTATAAATCACAGTTGCTTAAATCACTGTTAGAACAGATTTATAATAACTAACCCCTAAAATAATAATAGCATTTAAACAATACTTTTATGTTTGCAAAGCATGTTACAAATATTTAATTTTCACAGCAACCTTGAGTGGTAGATGCTTTTATTATCTCCACTTTATAGATGAAGAAACCGAGGCAGACCGAAGTTAAGTGACTTGCCCAGGGTCACATAAGCTAGTAATTGAGGCCAAATTTGCACTCCGGTCTTCCTTATTCCAGGCCTAGCACTCTATTCACAGCGCCACCTATCTGACTTTCAATGTAAACTCCAAAATGATGTAATGAAACTAATGGCCGCCTCCAATTAACCTTGCTTTTTCTATAGCAACAGTGAACAGTGGTGAGTAATCTTCTTCAATACAGTGGTGGTGGTGTTGTTCATTCATTCCAATCGTGTCCAACTCTTTGTGAGCTCATTGGGGTTTTCTTGGCAAAGATACTGGAGTGGTTTGCTATTTCCTTCTCCAGCTTACTTTACAGATAAGGAAACTGAGGCAATCAGAGTTAAGTGATTTGCCCAGGGTCGGTTGTTTGATTTATGCTGCATTGTCAAGCCAAGTTCTCTGTCATCCATGGACTCATCTAAATGTATGCCCAAGTATAATAATATAGTTCTACTTGTGACATTATTTTCAACATATTTACTAAAGTAGTTTTCTCTGTTTCTGGCCTTCTGGCTGAAGCTAAAACTTTTTCTTTAACCAAATCTTTCAGCGTTGCCATAGTTAACTCTTTGGTTTGCTTAAAAATATATTCATCATGTCTTCATTGGATATTTTGTCACTTAGGCACTAGCTTATAAATCTGTTGATTATCATAGAAAAATTTTTCTTTACATCCTTTACCTTGGGTTTTGGAAACTATGATCATAGGATTTTTACTTTGTTTCTGTTTTTCCCTTCTACCCATTCCACTTGCCCCAGCCTGGGAGACCTTAGTTCAGAGGCCAACTTCGGATTTCTTTAATATGAGAAAACAAAGGCATTCACTTTTCTGACCAATGTGGGTATTTCTTTGAAGCCTAACCTCTGTTGTCTATTTGTTATCATCAATTTGAAGCTTAGGCTGGCAAAATAAATTTGAAAAAACCTTAACCTTTATTAAATCTTGCTGTTGTCTGTTAACAAATCTAGATATTCTTGATCTACTTTAGAAGATTATTTCCTTCTTTCCAGTGGCTTGATTGCTTCAATTCTTGCATTCTGCTTGATTAGTAACATTCCATGAAGAAAGACAGCTGTTTTCTATAATTCTGCCTTTATCTGCC